CACAAAGAGCAGACAGCGCAGCCTGGGGCATCAACGACGTCAGGGACGACCGTGCCCTCAGCCGCGGGGGCGGTGACAAGGGCCGCCAGCGACCCGTGTGGGAAGACGCCAAGGAAGGGGATGGCCGTGCCACCAAATCCCCAAGAGGCGACCCAGCGCGGGTACACATTTCCGAGGCGCCCTGGAAGGATGCAAGGGCCACGCAGCCACCCCGAGGCAACCCAAGCGACCCCATGGGGGGCATCCCCATGTACATGTGCCCTGTTGCCGATGCGGACGCCGCGAAGGATGAACCCGCGCAGGAGAAGAACATGCGCCTTCAAAAGACGCTGGGAGGAGCGTTCAATGGAGTTTGGGCCGCATGGGTGAAGACGGCTGCGATGAGACAGGGGGCCAGCGGAAGCGAAAAACACGACCCTAAACGGAACGCGGTCCAGTCGCGCAGCGATTTCATCCAGGCGTGGGACAGCGCAGGGTACGACGCCTATAAGATGGACAGCGACCTAGAGCTCAACGTCCACTGGCCGTCGGTCAAGGACAAGCACGTGAAGCTCCTCGAACGCGAACCCAAGACCCACGCTCAGCGCGGACCTGCCAGCAGCAGTGGACCCGCCCCGTGGACAGCAGAAGGCAGAGCAGCCGCGGCGGCGCCCGCGCATGATCGATGGGCAGGTGCCATCGGCTCCGCCACCCCCACCCGCTGGCAGGAATGGCGCGAGTGGAATTCCTGGAGCCACCAGAAAGCACCGTGGACGGAAACGGAATGGAAAGGGAAAGGTAAGCGCTACTCCCCCAGGGGAGACGATCGATGCACAGACAAGCGTGCACGATGGTGGGACAGGGAGGACTAGTGCGCCCAGGGGTAGCAGGCTCGGGCTGGCCTGACAGCGCGCCCCCCTGCACTCCCGGCCCGTCGCCCGCGACCCCCCCCCTCGTCGCCTGCACCTCTCCCCGCTGGGGATGGTCTCACCTCGCAGCGCCCGGCCTCGGCCGCAATGCCCCGGGGCAACTCCCGCCGGGGCGGGGGCCTCCCCGCATCTCACCCCTGGCGCAGCATAGCTAGACAGCCCACACTGGATAAGTGGATCTCGCCTGGGCGTCTCCCCCCCCCCTCAGCAGATGGGGGCCAGCCCGCAGGCCTCACCGGCCCCGGGGCCGCCTGCTTTGCTGCCCCACGGCGACAGCCACTCTTTCTCGGTGACAAGGGGACGGCCGCAGATGCATCCCCCCAGCGCACCTCCCTTTGCTGTCCAGCTTGACAGCCGCCCGCTTTCGGTGGCAGGGGTCAGTCGTCTGAAATAGTCGCCCCCCTGCACGCCGCTCAGCCGGTACTTTGGCAGTCTGCAGCTCCAGCCATGTTGCGTAAGGCCGCGGCGCATGAACCCCCCATGAGGCGCGCCCGACGCTGGCGCGCTCCAGCTCGGACCGCATCGGCGTGGATTTGCCGCCCCCCTCGATGCAAGTGTCTTGCGGCGGCTAGCTGCCCCCCCCCCACATGCGTGGATGTTCTCGGCGTGCAGCTGCTATCAAGTCACCTGTATCTTGCGGCGGTTAGCTGCGCCCCCCGTCTCCACTGCAAGGTGCACTCTGAGGGTTGCGCCCACTACCGGACAACCAGGTGACAAGGGGCGCCCCGGCGCTGCTGCAGACTGGCCGCGGTGAGGGACGGCGCCTCCCGCGTGGCCCGGTGGGCGCCCCCTACTGTGCCTCAGGGGTTCGCCCGCGGCGGCTGCAGTGGCCAGAGCGGTTGACCCGACGGACAGGCTGCTCGGAGGTCTCCCCCCCCACGGGCCGACCCCCTGCGTCGTCTGCGGCTGGCGCCGGTGGGCCGCTTCGCAGCAGGACGACACTGTGGTGCTCGGGCAGTCGCTGGTGTCCACCGACAATGAGGGTTGTGTGCCTGAATGCCTCGCCCTGAGTGTTGCAGCCTGGTACAGCCCGCGTTTTACGCATGGTCGCACCATTCTCGGGCCTCCCCCGCAGGCGCCGGATTCGATGCGATGAGTGCCGCCGGCCCCCCCAATTCTGCGGTGGAGTTCGAGGGCTGCGCGCTGTGTGGTTCAGCCTTCCGCGCCTTCGGCCCCTTGTTTTCCACCGCCAGCAGCTTGTTACCTGGGCTCGCGCATCGTTGCTAGCCGGGTCGGCTGCTCGGAGCTTGGCGCCGCAAGGGCGACTCACTCCGCTGCACTCGCACCCGTGGCCGCTTGTACACTTTGGTTTACTGGGCGGCGCCTAGGTGCGTCTGCTGGTGAATGCTGAGCATTTTGTTCAGTGCATAGGCAACTGCACGCTCTGTGTGCAATTAGCTTTTGTTTCGGCCGCCCCGGACATTGCCTCTCGCCGCCAGACCGTCGCCGCGCGGCCGCCGACCAAAAAAGTATCCCCCACCAGCATTTCGATCTCCACGCCACCGGGTCGGGAGTTTCGTTTCTGGCTCTTCTTCTGAGTGGCTGCCCGCGCGCTCGCTTCGCTTGCCTCTCTTTTCTTGCTGCCTAGTCGCGGCCCGACTAGTGTTCGGACGGTTTTCGACCTGCTTCGCGAGCCCGCAGACCAAAAAACGTATCCCCACCAGCCCATTCAGAAACCCTGCCCATGAGAGCTGACGGGAAAATGGACGAAGAGACACATCTAGGGAAACAAAGCGAGCAACCAGGGTGAACCGAGAGATCTCTGGGAGCAAGGGGGTGGCCTTGGAATGCCTCTTTGGGCCATCCCTGGGGGCCCCGCGGGGGCGAGGGGAAGAGGAGGAGCAGGTGCAGGAGGAGGATGAGGACGAGGAGGAATATGAGGACGAGGACGAGGATGAGGACGAGGACAAGGACGAGGACGAGGACGGGGATGAGGACGACGCGGACGAGGACTCATGGAGCCATCTAGAGGTATTCTTGCGGCTGCTGCTGCTGCTGCTGCTGCTGCTGCTGCTGCTGGTGCTCTCTGGGAGGTTTGGGGGCCCTCTTGGCATCTTCTTGGTAACCTTGGAAGGCTTCTTGGGATCATCTTGGAGGGCATCGATTACAGGATGGGGGGGGCCCAACTCAGTCCCCCCTTCAGGAGCCCGCAAACCGCTTCTTGGGGCTCTCTTGGAGCGCTCTTGGGCGCTCTTGGAGCGGTCTTGGGGCCGTTTAGAGCATCTTGGGAGCCATTTTGAGCCAGCTTGGGCTATCTGAGCCATCTTGAAGGTCATCTTGGACTCGCTGAGGCCGCTCGGGGGCCTCTTGGGGCCGTCTTGTGGCTCTCTTGGGATCCTCTTGGGGCCCAAGAGGGGCTGTTTTGGGGCTCTCTTGGGAACCTTGGAGCGTCTCCTGGGGCCATCTTCGAGTCCATCGATCAAAGGAGGGGGGGTCCCGATCGAGGCCCCCGCCCCTGGGGCCCTGAAAACCGCCTCTTGGGGCGCTCTTGGAGCCCTCTTCGGGCGCTCTTGGGCATTTTTGGGGCCGTCTTAGGGGCATCTTGGGCACCTCTTGGGGCCTTTTTGGGCCATCTTGGGGCCATCTTGAAGCCCTCGAAGCGCATCGGAAGCGAAACGGCGAGAAGGCACAAATTTCCCGATCGAGGTCCCCCCCTCGGGGGCCACGATCCTAATGAGGGGTGTCAAAAGTTGGCCCTCCCAGGGGCCGACAGAGGACCTTCTGGCCACACGCGACCGCCGCCGAAAAAGGCCTGGGGAGGGGCAAATCCTCCCCAAAGGGAAGGAGGGGTTTTGTGGAAGAGGAAAGACAGAATATCGTTAGACCACCTACGCCCAGAGGGCCAGTGGGATTTCCCCATGCACGGCCTGCGGGCCCGCTCGCGCGGGGCCCGTCCGCCGCGCAGGCCTTGCATAAGGAACTGTTCGACTTTCCTGGGCCTCTGCGGCTTCCGACTTTTGGTCGGCCCTGACCTGGTTGTTTTGCCGGTGCGGGGCTCCTGGGGGGGTCACCGGCAGGCCGCGGAGGCAGCCCCGGGGCTCGGCCCCGCTGGTGGTGCTGGCTGCCCTCCCCGCTCCTTTTGCCAGGGGAGGAAGGTTCCGATCCCTCCTCCCTGTCCTCGTTTTGCCCGGTTTGGGGGCTCCTCGGGGGCCCTCGTCGTCACCGCTGCATTCGCCTCGGAATCCGGTCAGAACGCACTCCAGTACGGGAGCAGCGGCACCGGTACCTTCCGATTGCGTGTTGCCAGGAGAACTGGGATACCCCCAGGCGGTGTTCTTGGCTCAGTGGCTCGAGGAGACGGCGGCGGCCTTCTGGCGAAAGGCTCCCCGACTCCCTGGCCTCCCTCCTGGCCCTCCCTCCCGCCCCCGTTCCTCCAGCAGCCGCGCTGGATTGTCCTGGGCCGGGCCAGGTTTGCGGCGCGGGCTCAGCCAGGGGATGCCTCCTCCCCCGGGGTGGCTCCCTCCCCCCTCCGTTGCCGGAGTGTGGCACTTGCGTCTCCTCGCCGTGCGCTGACAGGTGCAGCGGTCGGGGAGGCTGGCTGAGCCCCAAGCGCGGGCAACTGTCCGCTGTCGGCGGCCCCGCTTGGTCCGCCCCACTCCATGCGGTCAGGCCGAGTCGCCCGTCTGGCTGCCGACCATTCGAAAGTCGGGGGTGGACAGACCTCCTACCCTGACGCGTAGATTAAGGAATTGGCCGTTTTCGGTTCGCGAGGGGGCGTCGCGGCCGTCATTTTTGCGGGTCCAGGTCCGTCGGTTTCGCTCCCAGGCCGCTTTCACTAAGGGGAGGTTTACTAAAGGGAGGTTTGTCCACCGCCGAGAAAGGGTCCAGCAGAGGGCCTCCGCCTGGCCGCTGCACGGTCGCTTGCGTCGCCCTGCTCTGGGCCCGCTGCCCCCTGCAGAAAGGAGACCGCGCCCGAGGTCTCCGCATGCCGCCCCAGCGGGAGGGACGCCAGTCGACCAGCCTCCTCCGGCCCCTCCTCCCTGCTCCTCCCGCTCCTCCTCGACTTCGGCCCCGAAGGCCGAACTCGAGGCAACACGCAGGCATTGGCAAACCACACAGTGCCAAAGATTTCGGAAGCCTTCCACCCTCGAGGCCGTCACGCTCGAGTCCCTCCAGGCGGAGCTCCGGCGGTTCGCGGCGGAGGACTTGGGCGCGCTGGGCGACCGCCTGGAGCGCCTGCTGCAGGCTCGCGCCCGGCCCGACGACGACGACGACGACGACGACGACGACGACGACGACGACGACGGCGGCGGCGATGACGACGACGATGACGACGACGACGACGGCGACGACGACGGCGACGACGACGACGACGACGGCGACGACGACTGACTCGGGGGCTTCCAAGCGGCGCGGTGACCACACCGTGTGGTGAGTCAATGGGGATTCGGGGTGGGCGCACGGTCTTTCGACTTGTGTCGCTCTCCGAGGACGTCTCGGGCGACTTGGGCCTGCAAGGTGCGGTGACGGATTGTGTGGTGAGTTCGTTTGGGATTTCGAGGTCACCGCACGGTCTGTCAAAGCACCGTTTCGGGACCCCAACATGATGCTGTCGACGACGACGACGACGACGTCATCGTCGTTGTTGTCGTCGTCGTCGTCGTCGTCGTCGCTGTCGCTTCGGCGGTTTTCTGGGTGATTCTGCAGGCTCTCGTCGCCGCGGCTTGACGCAGCTCGAACACTACGCCAGTGTGGACTCTGGGAGGGGATTGGGGACAGATTCGGGCTGAAGCGGATGTTGGTCGCACCGGGACGCGGCCGGTGATGCCGTGGACGAGGACGACGAGGACGAGCACGACGACGAGTGACAGCGACGACGACCCTGTGACGATCCGATGTTTCCTTCTCCAGGTTGTTCCTGAGCGGAGGCAGGGAGCGGAAGCAGGAGGAGATCGGAGGAGGAGGGAGGAGGAGGAGGAGGAGGAGGAGGAGGAGGAGGAGGGAGGAGGAGAAGGAGGAGGAGGAGGAGGAGGGAGGAGGAGGAGGAGGAGGAGGACGACCCTTCTGACGACGTGGAGTTGGGCCGCCAGGAGGGCCCGGCGTCGGGCCTCCCCATGGGAAGGCGGCGTCGGGATCTCCCCGGGCCCGTGCGTTTGACAAAGTCACGTCGTCGGATGTCTGGCACGACATGGCACGACGACGACGACGACGAGGACGGCGGCGGCGACGACGACGACGACGACGAGGGCGGCGGCGGCGGCGGCGGCGGCGACGGCGACGGCGGCGGCGAGGGCGACGAGGGCGACCATGGCGACGAGGGCATCGAGGACGACGACCATGGCCCGACGGCGATGACGCTCGTCGCCGCTCTCTCAAGCCTTCAACCTCCACGAACCTATGCACATAACATGCTTTCCGCACATCCCCGATCTAATGCCTTCCCGTTGGAATGTTCAACTCTCATGACCCTTCACAACAGCAGGGTACCATGCGGTGCACACATGTTGATCTTAGCATGGCCTTTTGAAAGCCTTCGCCCTCACGATCCGATTCAAATAATATGCCTGTGTGTATCTATATATGCAATTCACGTTCCAGCACAGCTCCGATTAATACCTCCCACGGCGGAAGTCTAAACTCCTCATGACCCTTGTGCAAGAAAAGCACCATGCAGTGCACATCTGCTGATCTTAACATCGTCCCAGGCCTTCAACGCTCACGGTCCTATGCAAAGTCTATGGTTAGTGGCACACACGATCTAAGCACACCTCGATGGACATCTAACCCCCTTACGCCCCTCTGTTTACAAAGCGATGCTGTGCACATCGGTTACTCTTACCATTGCCTTCTCTAGCCTTCAACCCTCACGATCCGAATCAAGTGCTACGTTTTTTTGTACCCCCGATGTAAACTCATCACGATGGAAATCTAAGCCCCGCATGATCCTGGGATGTCCTGGGCGGGTTCTTGGGCTGCCTCCCGAGCAGCCCGTTCTATCTGCGAGAGTGGCCAGTTTTCACTCCTGGGGGGGCTGCCCGCGGGCCCCGCCGCCCCGGGCGGGCTCCCGGGCTGCCTCCCAAACGAAGCCGGCTCGATGTGCAAGAGTGGCCAGCTCTCGGTCCTGGGGGGGCTGCCCGCGGGCCCCACCGCGGGGGGGGGGGCAACATGTTTGTCTAGAATGGTTCATGGTAGCGCTCACTCCAGACACGATACCCATAGTCATTAAACCAGCTGATGGTGATGGTTCGGTTGTTGTTGAAAGACCAGATGTGCTCGCAATCCTCATCGTTGACATAAATCGATTTGCGCAGGTAGTTTGACCAGTACCCTTCCCGCGGGTACCAACCGCCCTGGGCAGTTCCTTGGGGCTGCGTCCCACGAGTGGCCGATGTGCAGAAGTGGCCAGTTCTGGCTCCTGGGGGCCTCCTGCGGGCCTTGGTGGCGGAGTCCGTGGCTGCCTCCCAACATCAGCAGATTCTACTTTTAAGTCGGGCCTGTCCCTCTACATGGGGAATATTCAAAAATAGTGACCATTTTGGAGTGCTTCTTGAGTATTTTTTCATTTTTCGTCGAAAATCCCCCTGTAGGGGGGCACGCCCGACTTAATTCTACTTGCACGAGTGGTCAGTTCTTGCTCCCGAGGGGAGCGGCGCCGCCGCGTGAGAGTGACCTCTTCTCTTTCCTCCCCCTCCCGCGGCCGCCCTCTGCGGCCCCTCCCCCCTCTTGCACGTGGGACAGTGCGCAACTCCGCAGCCCGGATTCGCTCGACGCGCAAGCGGATCGCCTCTGCTGCGCCGCGACGGAAAAGCTTCTGAGGGGGGTTCCGCGGGCCTGGCCGCCCTGGGCGGATTCCCCGGCTGCTTCCATACGTAGCCATCTCAACAGTGCGTGGGAGCTGCATCATCATCATCATCATCATCATCATCATCATCATCATCATCATCATCATCATCATCATCATCATCATCATCATCATCATCATCATCATCATCATAATCATAATCATAATCATAATCATAATCATAACCATAATCATCATCATCGTCATCATCATCATCATAATCATCATCATGAGCATCATCATCATCATCGTCATCATCAGTTTCAGCATCATCGTCATCATCATCATCATCATCATCATCGTCATCATCATCATCACTATCATCATTATCATCATTATCATCATCATCATCAGCAACAGCATCAGCATCAGTATCATCATCTTCATCTTCACCACCGTCATCATCATCGGCATCATCGTCATCGTCATCATCACTGCCATCATCATCATAATCATCATCGTCGTCCGTAGCCATTCTGGCTCAAGCCGTTCGGGCCCAGAAACGTTGAAGATCTTGCCTGGTCGAGGTAAACAGCGCCGTTGCATTTTGTGCGCGATGGGTGGACCGACGCTCTCCGCCGTGAGCGTGGAGGTGAAGGACCTCGTGGACGTCAAGACTGCTTTAATCTCGGTGTTCGACAAGACTGGTCTTGAGGAGCTGGGCAAGTTCCTCGCCTCGAGGGGCGTCCACGTGCTCTCCACCGGCGGCACGGCTGCTAAGCTCCGGGAATTCGGCTGCACTGTGCAGGACGTGGCGGACTACACCGGCTCCCCAGAGATCCTCGACGGCCGCGTCAAGACGCTGCACCCTAAGGTGCACGGCGGCCTGCTGGCTGCGCGTGGCAACGAGGAGCACGAGAAGCAGATGAAGGAGCACGACATCCGCGGTATCGACCTGGTCGTGGTCAACCTGTACCCGTTCAACGAGGCCGTCGCCAAGAACCCGGACGACTTTGCTACCTGCATCGAGAACGTCGACATTGGCGGGCCCGCGATGATTCGGGCGTCTGCGAAGAACAATGCTTCGGTGACGATCGTGACGAGCCCGTCGCAGTACCGAGGGGTCATCGAGGAGGTGACAGCGAAGGGCGGCTGCACCAGTTACGGCTTCCGCAAGAACCAGGCCGCTGCAGCCTACGCCCTCACATCGGCCTACGACTCCGCGGTGTCGCAGTGGTTCGCCGGGCAGGTCACCTCCCCCCCGGCGACGCAGACCGTGGCTTTCCAGGTGGAGCGGCCGCTGAAGTACGGCTGCAACCCCCACCAGCTGCCCGCTGGACTCTGCTCGGTCATGGGCGGCAAGCTGCCCTTCGAGGTGGTGGCCGGGACGCCCGGGTACATCAATTTGCTGGACGCGGTGAACGCCTGGCAGTTGGTGCACGAGCTGGCTCAGGCCACCAATCTGCCCGCCGCGGCGTCGTTCAAGCACGTCAGCCCGGCCGGCGCGGCCATCGGCGTGCCTCTCAGCGACGACGAGAAGATCGTCTACGAGGTCAAGGATAAGGAGCTCACACCCACGGCGACCGCGTACGTGCGCGCGCGGAATGCCGACCCGCTGTGCTCCTTTGGGGATTTCGTTGCCATCTCTCACAAGGTCGACGTTGCCACGGCCATGATCCTGAAGATCGAGGTGAGCGACGGCATCATCGCGCCCGACTTCGAGGACGCAGCTCTGGAGATCCTGAAGGCCAAGAAGGGTGGCAAGTTCATCGTGCTGAAGGCGGACGCAGGCTACACTCCGCCGGCGCAGGAGTACCGCATGTGCGGCGGCGTTGGCTTTGTCCAGAAGAGGAACGACGCCCTCTTCGATGCATCGCGCCTGGAGAAGGTAGTGACCAAGAAGAAGGAACTGCCGGAGCAGGGGAAGCTGGACCTCATCCTTGCCTCGATCGCCATCAAGTACACGCAGTCCAACTCCGTCGGGTACTCCAAGGACGGCATGATGATCGGCGTCGGGGCCGGCCAGCAGAGCCGGGTGGACTGCGTGAAGTTGGCGGGCAGGAAAGTGGCGACCTGGAGGCTGCGGTTCCACAAGAAGGTGATGGGCCTGTCATTCAAGGAGGGCGTGAAACGCCAGGACAGGGTGAACGCCCGCGTGAGGTACATCGAGGGCGACATGCAGGAGGCGGAGCTGGCGGAGTGGCAGAAGAACTTCAGCACCCCTCCCGAGCCGCTGTCGGCGGCCGAGAAGGATGAGTTTCTCGCCAGCCTCGACGGCGTTGCGATCTCGTCCGACGCCTTCTTCCCCTTCCGCGACTCCATCGATCATGCCAGCAAGCTCGGAGTCAGGTTTGTGGCGCAGCCGGGGGGCTCGGTGCAGGATGACGAGGTGACGTCCACCTGCGACACGTATGGAATGGTCATGGCTTTCACGGACCTCAGGCTTTTCCACCATTGAGCGTGCACGAGGTTGTCTCGACTATCCGGGCAGCCTAGTCGCCTCGGAGCAGCCGCCAGACACTCCAAGACTCTTGAAGGCAAGCTCGTGCACGCCGTAGCCAAGCGGACTACATAGGCTAGTGAGTGTGGCAATCAGTCGGCCCCTCACATCTTCACTTCTCGCCTCGCTGCTATAGGGGTAGCTGCCTGTATGTTTTGCTGACACTGTTCGACAGTGTACGTTTTTGTTGGAAGTTCTGATCATGTCGCGTACATCGGCGTGGCTCCAGGCCGCTGCATGCGTAAGACCAGATCTCGACCGTCTTGACCTGCTTCCGTTTTTTGGTTCGGCTACAGTGAATTCGTTGCGCGAAGTGTTACGATTCATCATGGTGCCGGAATTGGATGCAGTTGAGCCTCCACGCCGCGCTGGGCAAACTTTGGGTCGGCAACGGAGTTGGAGACTTCGGATGCAGTCCATTCTTCGTTCTTTAGCCTGCGCCTACGTGTGCGTAGTTTGGGGCGAACTAGTTTGAGGCGAAGTAGGTGTCTCAGCGATGAAGCGTTTACGGCGACGATTCAAAGTAGGTTGGCGTACTTCAGTTTGGGTTGGGCTGGCCATGCATCGAAGGGCCTCTCACACGCGCCGCCTGGGTCGGCGGATTTCTCAGGTGTCGTGCCCCTCCAACCCCCTCAGACCGCCAGATCGCGGCTGGATCGCACGCTGTGCCGACCGCCCACCCGCCCTACAGTTTGGTTCTTGGTATCGCTCTGGGCTCTGGGTAGGTGTCTCGGGCTCGTGACTGGAGCGCCCCGCTCCCCGCACGCCTGTCGCTGGAGGCATCATCATCATCATCATCATCATCATCATCATCATCATCATCATCATCTACATCTACATCTACATCTACATCATCATCATCATCATCATCATCATCATCATCATCATCGTCGTCATCATCATCATCATCATCAGCATTATCATCATCATCACCTTTGTCGGCGTCATCATTATCATCATCATTATCATCATCATCGCTATCACGGTCAGCATTCTTAGCATCCTCTTCATGATCATCATCATCAGTATCAGAATCAGCATCATCATCATCATCATCAGCATCAGTATCATCATCATCATCATCATCATCATCATCATCATCATCATCATCATCATCATCATCATCATCATCTTTGTCGTCGTCGTCATCATCATCGCTATCACCATCATCATTCTTAGTATCCTCTTCATGATCATCATCATCTTCAGGATCATAAGCATCATCATCAACATCATCATCATCATCGTCATCATTCTCATTATCACACTCATCATCAAGAATCATCAACCGCGTCGTCAGTATTACCATTGATCGTCTTCATGTGTTGTGGAACGTGTCCGAAGTTGCAGAAGATTTAAGACTCCGCTGAACTAGCGAGAGGGTCGAGCAGTCTTACGAGATATGTGTAGGGCGGGGGGGGGTTAATCCGCGTAAGGTCTTGTTGACCCTAAACCCGAAGCCCCCGTTTTTTTTTGCCAGGGGCATCCATCCTCGTTCTTCTGTTCCTTGTGACACCTGATGCGTATGGGTTGGGTACGTTACCGGGGTATTTTTTCGCGCGGCCCCCGTGAGGTCCCGACCTCTGCCCTAGGGATCGTCGTTCGTCGTGGACCCATGTTCGATAGCCCGGGGGCCCGAGAACGGGCCCGAGGCGGCCGAGGTCGAGGAAAACCGCCGGGACTGAAAACACAGTATCGTCGGAGATCGAGGGCCCCGCGGCCGCCGCCGTGGTGGTCGTCGCCGCCGCCGCCTCCATTCGAGATCCGGCGTTGCCAGAGACTTGCGACATCACGAGACATGGTGACCAGACTCGTATGCCCCATCTTGCTGCGGCATCTCTCGGGCCGGCTCGGTCTGTGGTGGTCCCGGGGCCCGACACAAGGCAGCATTGCCCGTTGCAAGAATTGCCCCAGCAAAACACCCTAATAGTATTGGAGAGCCCAGCTATGTGCACCGTAGTGTGTGCTTGCGTGTCTTCACAGGTGGTCGTGAGCTGGTGTTGCGGCGACGGCTCGATACTGGAACATGTTGTGAGGAAGTCTCAGGCGAACCGGCTGCCAGACTGAACGGTCTCGGAGGGCGGTCCTAGGTTCTTCCCCCCCTCTCTGGAGTTTTTTTCTGGGTGGTTCTTATGAGTCTTTTGAATAAGAAGCTTCCATTCGAACCGAATAGCGAGACGCGATTTCTATTCGGGAGAAGCGCGAGTAGGAGATCGACTACAGAATAGATCTACCCCAATACTGGCTTGTTCGTCGAATCTATAACGTTTGTGAATCTACAAGCATTGTACGTCGTAGATTCGACGTTGACCTCCATTTTGAGGCACATCAGATCTGTGGGCGGTTTCCTACCGCAAAGCTGCGACGCCGGGACCTCAGCGCCCCCGAGGACCCCGAGCTGAGGAGGGCAGCGGCCCGGCAGTCCGTGGCGCAGTCCCTGCCCTCGCGGGCAACGAGCCCCACGGCGTGGGCGCGGGCGACCCCGCCGCCGAGCCCGCGAGGCGAGGCGGCGGGTGAGGAGGCGCTGTCGCCCGCGCGGCGCACCAGGGCCAGGGTCTCGACGTGGGGCCGGCAGGTCAGCCCGGCGGGGGAGCAGGTGCCGTGGAGCAGAACCTCTGGGCCTCTCATCGCCGAGCGCGTTCCGCGCAAAGTGCCTACTCGCAAACGTACATGCCTGCTTTGATGTGATTTATCGCAGATCCCCCGCGGGGGATCCAGGCCATTCGCGAGTAGTCACGTTGCGAGTAGTGGAACGCGCTCGTCGATCTCAGGCGTGGTCGGGGCAGATGGGGTTGGAGGATCGCGCCGCATCGCCGATGTATCGGCGATGTGGCTCGATGTGGGGCCAGATTTTATCTGCGCCGACGTCGCCGATGCATCGCCGACGTCGCCGCATTGCCGATGCATTCGCGATGCTGCGCGATCCTCCGATCCCATTTACCTGGGCCCATTTTGGAATGCCTCTGGCGAAACATTCAGATCCCCGACGACAGGACTTTTTCAGTCTGGCCTCCCGGGGCCCGCGTTCGGGCCTGGGACGATCGACAACACGTCCGGGACGAAACTTTCGACCCCCGGGGAAGCGCCGCCATGAAGCAGAGCGAGCGGGTCCTGCAGGCGCACGGGTCCCAAGGTTCTCGGCCGCTCGTGGGCTCCCCGGGCCCTCCACGAGCCCCGCGGCCGTCGGACAACGGCTCTGATGAGCTTGTTTTCCACCACCACCACCACCACCACCACCACCACCATAAGTTGGAGGGGGGAAGGAGGAGGGCGAGGAGGAGGAGGAGGAGGAGGAGGAGGACCCCCCCGTCCAACTTACAGACTCGGGACGAAGAGCTGCTCCCTGGCAGGAAGGCCCCGGGGCTCTAGGGCCCGCTCCTCGCCGGTGCCAGCGGCACCAGCAGGGATTGTCGGAGCACCTATTGCGGATCTCTCGGATCGGCGGGGGGCCTCCCCGGCTTCGCCTCCGGCGCCGCCCCTGGCGCGCTGCGCGCGCCCAGGAGGGGTGGGGGGCCCTCCAGCGGCGGTCCACGACATCCGCGCGGAGCTGCGACAGTTTGTGTTCATGCAGCTTTCTGTTCCCCTCCAGGTGGAGGGCACCCCGAGGGAGCTCGGCGTGGCGCGCACAAGTCGGGTGTTGCCAGAGGTGGCACTGGCCCGAGGCGTCCTCAGCTCCTCGCGCCCTGTCGGAGCCTCAATGGGGGCTTCCTGGGCCTCGCGAGGGATGCTCTGCATGCCACCTAGGCCTCCCTGGAAATCCTTGGGCTTGGGACACCTCTGGCAACACCCGTGGGGCTCCTCGTCTTCTTACTCCTCCTCCTCCTCCTCCTCCTCCTCCTCGTCCTCCTCCTCCTCCTCCTCCTCCTCCTCCTCCTCCTCAGGCAGGCAGATGTAGTTGCCAGGACAGAGATCTGATATCGCTGTGTCCAAAATCTGAGTCACGGCAGACAGCCACACAGTGCGCGTTCGAGTATGAATGATTTACGGGCAGCGCGCGTACAATTCGTGAGCAGAAGGGCAAGGGACTGGAAAGGCAGAGCAACTCTCCTTCACCCCCCCCACCATCACTAGGTTTCTTTCCCCGCAGCCCCCCTGTCACACATCCTTCCCCCAGTGAAAACAAGTGTGCGAATGTGACAGTGTCCTCCTCGTCCTCCTCCTCCTCCTCCTCCTCCTCCTCCTCCTCCTCCTCCTCCTCCTCATCTTTTTCCTGGTCGTCTGGCCTTCGGGGCCCCCTCGTCGCCACCGCTTGGCGCGGCTCCAAGAAATGGGTGAGGAGTTCTTGGAGCTGTTGTTGAGCGGGTCCTGGCCGGCATCAGAAGGGGCAGCCTTCCAAGCAGGCGGGACCCACACTTCTGGAGAGTTGATTTTCTCAGTCCCAGCGGTTATGTCCTGGGTTTCGGCTTCCAGGGGCCGCTTTCAGGTCCTGGTGCAGACGCTGCAGACGAGGTCGAGACCTCGAGCAGAGGAAATGCATCCGATGTCTGGAGGGGGAGTTGGGGGCGGCCTTCTAAACAGGGGGGGAGCTTCTCAGAAGGCAGGCGAGAGCGCAGAGGATGGATAAAAAGGCTTCTCAGGCGCCGCTCAGGAGTTCCATCGTCTTGAGAAGGATTCCCCCTTCCCCCCCGCGTTCTCTCCCCCCCCCCCTCTGCGCGCCGCCCAGGAGAGCGTGGTCGTCGGTACCCCAGACGAGCAGCGGCCCGAGGCTGCTTCCCGAGGGGGAGTTGGGGGCGGCCTTCTAAACAGGGGGGGAGCTTCTCAGAAGGCAGGCGAGAGCGCAGAGGATGGATAAAAAGGCTTCTCAGGCGCCGCTCAGGAGTTCCATCGTCTTGAGAAGGATTCCCCCTTCCCCCCCGCGTTCTCTCCCCCCCCCCCTCTGCGCGCCGCCCAGGAGAGCGTGGTCGTCGGTACCCCAGACGAGCAGCGGCCCGAGGCTGCTTCCCGATCCTCTCCCGCCTCTCTTTTTGCTGGTGCGGCCCGTGCGTTTGCGGGGGGCCTCTGGGGGGGGGGGGGGGGGGGGGGGGGGGGGCGGCTCGTGGCAGCGCCAGCGCGCAACTCGAGACGCTGAGCCCAGGTGATGTCTAGCCGTTCTGGCTCAGGTGTGGATTCCTGAACTTGCAGCACCAGTTTTCAGAGCGGCAGTCGCTGCTGCGAGCCCCGTTCCAACCTTCAGTTCGTGGGATCTCAACCCACACATTCATCCAAGCCTACGGGCCCTCATGACCGATGGAGATGGCGCTGAGGTCCTCCCTGGGCCAAGGACGCCTATCTGGGCGTGCTCATGTGGCCGCAACTCCAACTGGGCGTCCAGGATCATTTGCAGATGCGGGAAGAAGGCACCGCCCGAGGTGCGCCGTGCAGCCGGGCTTCATGCGCGCGGCCAGCAGCATCATCAGCGGGCTGGTCTACCTCGTGGCGGTGGGGGTGGTCGTGACGACAAACTTCAGAAGAGGCTGGACGAGCTCCAGCGCTGATTTGACAAGTTGGCAGGAGGAGGTAACCTGTCCCCTGTCCCTGTGGCCAGCCACCCTGCTAAGGAACCGCCCAAAGACTCCAAGGAGCAGGAGCTGCGCGACAACATCAAGCAGCTCGAGGTGGCCATATCGCACTGTGAGAAGCTGGGTGAGTCGGGCAAAGGTGCCAAGGCTGAGCTCGAGATTAAGCTGGAGGCCGTACGTCGCGAATTGCATCAGACCAAGCCCCAGCTCACTCAGCATACTAATGTGGGTCATCGCTTGGCAAGTGCTAAAGGCAAAAAGCAGAGACTTGAGCACCAGATCGAGGAGCAGCTAGCTGCATCGCGAGTGCTCAAGAAAAGATCGATGGCATGCGGGCACAAGTTGCTGCTACGGACCGCGAGATCGAGCTCCTCAATCGGGACCTCATTCGTGCGTTGCCTGGCATGCCCGTCGTGGATTTGGAGGTCGATCCTGAGGTGCTGGCTGCGTCGAGTGAGCAAGCGCAGATCAAAGAAATGCTCCAGTCCGACACGTTCAAGAAGTTCGCGGAGCTGCTGGCGGCCTCCCAGGCGAAGGCATCACCTACGGCATCGGCATCATCGCCTTTCAAGTCCGAAGATGCTGGTGTGCCTGGTCATGGGGCTCCTAGTGATGCACCGGCCGCCAGCAGAGATGGTGCGGCTGAGGCACAACAACAGCCGAGACCAGGTTTTGAGCATGATGAGGACCTTGACGAAGACATGGTCGAGGAGATTTTCAATGCAGCCATACGGATTGACAAGCGTGAGTTCATTGAGAAGTTCGGTAGCAGGCTCTGCAAGAAGCCGCGCGTGGGGTAGCCCTTTGCTCCCACGGTGTTGCGGCTTGCCTATGTCTAAATTCGGAGTTCCTGCTCCACCTCCGCCTCCCCCCGACTCGCTCGACTCGTCCTCGCTCGCTGGCTTGGGCGAAAGCTTCGAGACCTACAATGGCAATTGCTGGCCGACTTTGCGCGAGAGGCTTTGCTCGACATCGGCGCTCGTCCTGCTGGCGCAGGAGATCGGGACTCTCGAGGGCCGTGAGGGTGAAAGAGCGGCCTCAGCGACCAGCTTGGAATGGAAAATGCTGTGCACCCCCTCCCCTGCTGGTGAATCTGAGAGACCTCGAGCGGGAGTCGGAGTTTTCGTCCGCACGCACATTGGCCTGCGATGGCCGTCGGATGCTCCTGGGATTGTTGCCAAGGGGCGTATCATCCATGTGATTGTCGACTTGCGTGGATGGCCGCCCCTGCACGTGTTTTCGCGCTACTTTAAGTCGGGGACTGGGTTGTGTGCGTTCAATCTCTCCCTTCTGAGGCAATTGGGGGAGAGGCCCACGGGGAAGCATATGTACGTTGTGGGGGGAGACCGGAACCTCGACCCCCATCTGGTTGACTCCACGGGACTTCCCCGTCGAGTTGAAGGGGCCGTGTTTGTGCCAACGCAGAAGACCTGCTTGCCCCCAGGAAGCCTCACCACTATCGACTACTTTTTAGCGAGCACGTGCTTCGCACGCGCCTGTGATAAGGTTGAGGCTGACATGTCCTGGACTCATCGCCCTCGCAGGCCCGCGCGCCTCGCGTTGCGTTCCGATGCCGTTCGGCGCCATCAGCTGATGTATCGGTCGCATCAAAGACTCCCGACGGAGCTGCCTTTCGGGCCGACCCCCAGACCCCAGGACTGGACCTTCAGCCGTATCATTGCTGAGGGCGCTGCTGCTGCGGCTCTCACTCGCCCCACCGGCGAGGCGCGGGAACTTCTCACTGCTGCCTGGAAGTATTTTTTCCAACACGCTCGAGCTTGAGCTCGAGGCTTTCACGGGAGTGGAGGTTAAAAGCAAAGCACGCAAAGGGGGCCTCTTGAGAGCTCGGTGGGTCCCGATTTTTGCTAAACCCAAGGCCTGCAGCCTCCGTGAGCAGCACGTCGGATGGATCTGGCTGGCCCAACATTTGTTTGAAACCATTGGGGTGTCAGCTCGATTTCGAAGGGCGGCCCAGGAAACCGATCCCACGGACCAAGCCCAGGTCCAGCGTTTGTCTGAGGATGCGAGCCACCAGATCCAACAGCTTCTTATGTTACCATGCCCCGGTGAGGGGCAGAATGTTAGACTCGACGCGACCCTCGCTCAGGCGCGCACTTTGGCTCGTTCTTTTACGCTCGATGATGGCCTCGACAGCTGGATTGCGCAGTGTCAGGAGTTTCTGTCGTCTTGGGACGACGACCTGGACGAGGCGCGCAAGGCCGTCGCGAAGGTTCAGCGGGATAGCTTGGATCAACGGCAGGAGAAAGCTCTTTCTGGGGGAGCGAGGGCCATGCACAGGCTCACGAAACTCAAGCAGAGGTGGACCCCGACCGTCGTGCAAAATCATCCTGGTTGTTTTTCTAACTCCCCTCAAGAGCTGCTTGAGGCTGAAGGCAAATCCCTGTCCGAGTTTTGGCGCGCGTCGCACATGCCACCCGAGGCATGTGTCCCTGATCGGGCGCACCTCCCTAGGCCGACGGCGGCCGAGATTAGAAGCGCGTCCAGCAGTTTTTCGCACCTGACTTCGCAGTCCCTCGATGGACTGCACCCGAGACAGCTCGCGTTGGTTTCGGACGATGCCCTTGACACGTTTGGGGCGTTAATCCAAGCGATTGAGTCCCTGGGCCTCTTTCCCAAACAACTGTTCTGGCTGCTTTTCCCTCTTTTGGAAAATCCCAAGGGAGGCCTTCGACCCATCTTGCTGTGCGCCGGCCCCGTCCGTGTCTGGGAACGTTTACGGAGACCTCTGATTGTGGATTTCAACACGAACTACCCTCGCAGCTACTGGGCGTTTGGCCCTGGCCGCAGTGCTGAGAGCGCCGCGCGGCACCAGGCCGTCCAGGCCGAGATGGCCCACTTCGAGTCTCAGGAAACGGGGGGTATAATATGGGATGGGACGAAGTACTACGAGTCATTTGATTTAGCCCTTCTCAAGGATAGAGCGTTACGTTACGGTATTAACGAGGTCATTGTCAAAACGACGTTTAACTATTGGAGGGGCCCCCGTTTGCTTCGTTTGGGGGCCCACTACGGGGCCCAGCCTTATTTCGCCAGGTCTGGTCTTCCCGCGGGAGATATCTTCAATGACATCGTGGTTCGAGTTTACAGCATCGAAGCCTTTGGCAAGTTTGTTGAAGACAATCCCAGCGTCGATTCGTCGTCGTACGTCGATGATGATAGCGTCACAGCGTCGGGCTCTGAGCAAGAGGTCCTGGCCACTATCACTCAGGCGGCTGCTTGCCTGTACGTCCTGTTTAGGGATGAGCTGCGCGCCGGCATTCAGCCCGACAAGGTCAGCACCTTTGCCAGCAGCCGCAGCCTCGCCCATAAGATTGCTAGGCACCTCGGGCAACTGGCGGGTAAGGTCACGAACAGCGCGGTCTCCCTCGGCACGGATTTCGCACCAGGTCAGACCCGAGGTGCTAAACATGGTCTGCGGAAAAGAAAACAGAGGTTTTCCCACATGAAGAAGAGGCATGAGGTTTTGATGCGATATCGCTCGGCCCTTCCCCGCAAAAAATCTCGCATGGGAATGATCTATGCGTGCGGAGTGTTGCCCGCGGCCAGTTTCGGCTCGTCGTTTGTGGGGATGGGTCGGGGCGAGCTCCAGGTGGCTCAACGTGTGCTGTTGTCGTCGCACCCCCCTAGGCACCGAGGGTGCTCCCTCCAGGCGCGTCTGGTGATCCTTGGAGACCCGATGTGGAGGCCGTCTGTGGCGCCAGCCCTGCAGTGGGCGTCGATCGTGTGGCTGGCTCTCGCCACCCCGTCGGTCTCTAGGTATAATATCAAGGAGATCGCTCATGTGTGGCGTTCTGTCCCCTTTGATGACAAGGCCACGTGGCGCTCGCCACGAGGACCTCTGCAGCGCATGCACCTGTCGCTGGCTAGGACCGGGTGGGAGTCGGTGACCCCCCTTACTTTTGAGGACGACTACGGTCGAGAGGTGCACTTGGGATACACCTCGCCCGCTATGTTAGCGCACACGTTGCAGTTGGCGGTCCAAAGAAAACATGAACGGGTTCTATCTCTGGACACCCCTGGAGCCGACGGTTTTCGGTTTTGCGTCGATCCCCTGAAAACCTTGCTGGGCCCCAAGGGAAGGAAACTCAACCCTCAGCAGAAGCATTTGGCGCTGAGTGTGTTTTGCAAAGGGATTCGGACCAGAGCGAGGGCTCAGGCCGCTGGATACTCGCGCGACGGACTTTGCCCGAAGTGCGGGATGCCCGACAGCGTGCGGCACCGCGTTTGGCAGTGCCTTCACCCTGACACCGTCGCCGCCCGTAAAAGTGTTACTGATGACTCTCCTGTTGAATGGCTGGACGAAGCTCTTGAAAGTCAGGGCCGTTTGTTCTTTGATGAGTTAAAGCGGGAGCACCCTGAAGCCTCCTACCCTCCTCCGTCCTCGGCCACTCAACCCATCCTGTACTCTCCTGTAGGGGATATGATTGATTGGGGCTCTGTGGACCACTCGGGTTGCGATGTCGTCATGGACGGCTCGGCCTATCGGCATGCCGTTGGGGAGTTGTCCAGAGCGGCTTACTCTTGGGTTTTCTTGGGAGAGGGCGACACTATTATTGCGTACGCCAAAGGTACTGTTCTTTCGGTCCTCCCCCAGACCTCCCAAGCTGCGGAGCACCTTTGCATGGCCCTCCTCCCGATGTTTCAGAGCAACGGCGGAGGCCGCGACGCCGATTGCAGGAATGTGGTGCGCATCTGTGTGGCGACGAGGGAGTGCCAGGTTTTTCATAAACATCGTTATGCTGATCTTCGGAGAGGTGCCCTGCTCCATGAGAAGTTCCTCATCCCGTCGGTGCACCACGCACCTGCGCACCGTGCGCGCGCTGTTCTGGATGCTCTGCCAGCGCACGAGAAACGGATTGGCATAGGCAACTTGAAAGCCGACGCCCTTGCCAAGCAAGCTCCCCCCCTCCATCCCCAACCCAGTGTGCACGAACGTACGGAGGTGGACAGGAAGTGTGATTTGTTGGCTTTCGCTGCTAGGGTGGCGGGCACCGTGCTTGCCATCTTTCCCCCCGAAAAGTTTGAGCGTCGGCCCTTGGGACCGAGGGCTAAGTTTTTTAAATCGGGAGGTTGGCATTCCTGGCAGGAAATAGGTCAGGGCTGCGCCAGAAGCTTGCATTGCCTTTGTTTGTCCACTGATCGGGATGCGCGCCCCATGTTGGGATGCAAAGGACCCGGCAGGCTGTGGCGTGGTGTCCTGGATCGGTCCTTGGGGCACTCGTTGGCGCATTGCATTGTAAGCAAAGGTGAGCGGAGGCTCACCCTCTTCTTTTGCTCCACGTGCGGGGCGTACTCCTCTGCGCGCTGTCATATGCTCGGCAAGGAGCGCCTTCAGCGCCGACTTGCGGGTGGCACTACCGTGCTGAGGAGGATCTTTGCTGGCCTCTATCCTCACTATCGTGACAATAGCACGGTGAGCGAATCCTCGAGGCGAGGCGTGGCTTTCTTTTGCTACGAGTCTCAGAGGCCACCGCCGCAGATGTCAGCCTGCCGCTCTCGCCGTCAGGGCTGATAGAGACGGCAGGTATGGCGGCGCTCCTGGCACGCATTCAGGCCCGTGAAGCGTCGGCGGTGGCACGGCCCGTTGCCGCGCCTTTAGGCGACGCACCGTGACCAGATTTTGACAAGATTTTGTGGATGGCGGGTGGCTAAATCTGGGGCCTCATCTGTCCCCTGTCCCGCCCGCTGTCCCTCATCTGCTGGGCTGTACGTCAGACGTGCTCAGCGGGTGAGCTGGTGTTCGGCCATCGTGGCCGACGTGCTGTTTCAAAATCGTTCAGGCCCCCAGGGGATCGCTGCCAAAAGAAAAAGCCCAGGTGATGTCTGGGAGGTGCGGGGGGGCCCGACGTGGCCTGTCGCTTCAGGAGGGTCCCTGCCTTCGAGGACCGTAGGCATCTCTTCTTCGGCGGAAGGCGGCGGAAGGGCGGCGGAACGGCGGCGGAAGCGGGCGAAAGCAGAACGAGGGCGGCTCCGCCGGCGGAAGTGAAGGATGCGCCCCCCAAGGGATGACATCGTGCTGAGGCTCAGGGTTCCTGGAGGTTTCTGGAGCCCGGCCCGCCCCGGAGCGAGGGTGGGCGGGACGGCCTGGGCCTGGGCCTCGGGACGCTGCGAGGGGGGCAGGGGGAGAAACGGTGGCCGCGGTCCTGTTCGCAGTCTGGGCCTCCGTGGGGGCCGCTCGGCGGGCCCCCCCCGGGGGGGGGGGCCACCGACGCGAAGCGGCACCCGCGACGAGGAGCCGGCCCTGGAAGTGGTGCCTGCGAGCTCCGAGGCCGGCCGTCCTGAGACGGCGCGCGGCGTCGGAGGCCTGGGCCGTGTGCCTCGCCTTCTCCACCCTCCTCGGATGTTCTCGGAGGGCGTCGGCTCACTATTCGGGGTGCTGAAGCGACGTCGCTCGGCGGCGTCCCCCCTCCGGAAGAAGATTTCTTGAATCTTGCAAGCTAGGGTTACGTCGGGCCTGTCCTTTTTAGAGGATATTCAAAAATAGTCAAAAATAATCAGGGGACGATTGTTCGACTATTCTTGGGTACTTTTTGAGTGCTTTTGGCATCTGTTATACTTTTGTCCGAAAGTCCGCCTGTAGGGGGACAGGCCCGACTTCATGCCAGGGACACAACGGGGAGGGGGTCCGATGGTTGCTTCCGCCGCTTAGCGAGTTGCCCTCGTGCCGATTCTTGAGGCAGTGTCGCGGCTGCATTTCTGCGGGCCTGCGCCCGCCGGATCCTGCTCCTGGTCAGTCTCGCCAAGAGGGGGTTCTGTCAAGGGGGGGGGCCCACCGCCGAGGTTCGTCTTGGGGCCCTTCCTGATGGAGCTGTTCGGCTTTCTAGTTCGACCCTGGCTCGACTCAAGTTCGGCTCGAGTGCGGCTCAGGTTGACGGACGCTCCACGCAGCATTGACGCACACGAGTCCAGCGAGTGGCGCAACGAAGGTCCCTTGGACGAGCAGCTATCCCTCATCTCCTCCAGTTGAGGGGTGCAAAAACCATCCGGACCCGATAATTTGCGTCTAACGGCCCTGGGCGTTTACTGCATTGCCCTGCCCTGTTCGATTCCTTCTTTGGGACATTTACTAAACGGCCTCGCTTGTCGGTCTAGTTGTTACTTATGGGGGTGAATTTTTTGCTCTCTATCCAGGTTGCACGAGCATCCCGAGTGTCTCTCTCCGCCGCGGTGCCGGGGGTCAGACTCGCGGGCGCCCCCAACGGCAGAAAGAGCCTGGCGCTGAGCCGGGCGGACAGCATGGTCGTTGCGGAGAGGCGGGCGAGCAAGAACAGCGAGGACTCGGACGACGGCGGAGAGGCACTCAAGTGGGTCCGCGTGCGCAAGGGCTACCATGGGACCTCCACCAGGGCCACCGTGCGGCAGGCGAAGCCCGGCGCCACGGCTGCCCAGAGGGCCACCGTGCGCCCAGGCTCGCTCTCCACCGCCGTGCTGAGGGCCACGCAGGCCTCCGCGGAGAACAGCACGGGGCCCTGAGGGAAACGGGCCTCGGGGCCCCTCGCGCCGTCCCCCGGGGATCACCACCCCCCACCCAGGCGGCTCCGTGGGGCCCAGGGGGCCGTCAGAGGGATGGGATGCTGGCCCCGGGGAGACGCCCGGGGCCCACGCAGACTCCGTTTCCTCCCCCCCCTGAGATCCTGGCTGCGCAGTGTTCTCGCACCCGGCATTTTCGCCTGGCTTCGGGCCCGGGGCCCTCACAGATCGATGGGGCCCGAAAAACGCCGCAGAAACATGAGGTCTTGCAGGGCTCTGGTCGCGATTCTTCGCGATAGTGTCTGTTTTTCGCGACTTCGGACCTCAGAGTCCCTCTGCCCTCGCGCCGGGTGCGCCCCATGACAACGCCGGCGTCGAGAACATATGCCCGCGCGCATATCAGTGCAGTCGGGGCCCTGAAGAAGGAACCCTTTTCGTTGGGGAGGGGCTCCTTGTTCCTTCATTGTTTCGCAGCTTGCCTTGGATTTTCCTTAGGCTTTCGATACGAAATCGGAGTTCAATGTATGGAAACTAGGGGCCTAATTCCTTCTTTAGGGTTCCTTAGGTCAACGTCCCGACTGTATCCACGCCCTCGCGGTCAGGCTTCTCCGGGGGCCGGGGGGCGCGACGCCGTGGATGCGCGGCCGCACGGGTGCGCCCTCCGCGTGGGGCCTCCGTGACACGCGCGCCCCGTGCCCATGGGGTCGCGGCCCAGGGGCCTGGCCCGTGAGTGACACGGGGATCTGGTATGCGCTGGTCTCGGAGGTTGATGGACCTCCTACCTTGACACGTCGATTAGCGACTTGGCCGTTTCCGGTTCGCGAGAGGGCGTCGCGGCCGTCATTTGTGCGGGTCCAGGTCCGTCGGTTTCGGTCCGGTAGGCTGTTTTCACTAAAGGGAGGTTTGCTAAATGGAGGTTTGTCCACCGCCGATTGTCACACGCAGGAGGAGTGGCCCCTCGGCCGGAGTGGCCCTTGGTGCGCGCGCCCACGGGCGCCCCCCGATCGCTGAACGAGGTGCGATGGCAGCGGCGGGCGCGCTCGGTTTGGGCCCCCCTCGCGCTCCCCCCTCCCTGGAGGCCGCGCACCAAAGACCGTTCCTGCCTGTCGGGGAGACAGATCTCGGGTTGGGAGGATGGGGTTGGGAGAAATGCGGGTATCCGAACCCGTAGGCGGTCGAAGGTGTCGTGCATTACATCCGGATGCTATCGCTCATACCCTTCATCCTCCCAACCCCTTCCTCCCAGCACGATAGCTGGTCTCCTCAGCCTGGGGTCATTCTCGCGTGTGCAGCCGAACGCTTCCCGCCTGTTTGGGCTGGCAACCCCCGCGCTCCGCGCGCCAGGGAGGGGGATCCCAGCGCAGATCCAAGAAGTCCGCACGGAGCGCCAAGAGTTTGTGTTTATGCCGTTTTTCCTTCTTCAAACTTCCAGACCCGCACCGATCTGTGATGGCCCGGGGCCCGAAAGAGCGGGCGACGAGAGCGCCCGGCGCGGAAGGGCTGCAGCGCCCCAGTCTCGGGCTGTTCTCCTCGCGCCTGCCAGGCCCGCCTCCGCGCGGAGGGCCGCCCAGAGGAGGCGGAGAGGGTGGGCCTGCCCGCGGAGGCCGCCAGCGCCCGGAGCCAGGCCAGCGACTTCGAGCGGCGCACCTCGGGAGTTCGGAGTTGAATGAACGTCGAGCAGTGAATTGGCCGTCTTCGGTGCGCGAGAGGGCGTCACGGCCGCTCTTTTTGCGGGTCCAGGGCCGTCGGTTTCGGTCCGGGGCCGTCTTCACTCAAAGGGTGGCTTACTCGAGGGAGCCTTGCCCACCGCCGAGGAGTGTCCAGCCACCTGCTGGTGCCCACCGAGTTCGAGGACCTGAAGCTCGGCACCCCGCGGCACTTCGGGAACGGGGAGCAGACGGAGGAGGGCAACGGCCGCTGCAGCGCGCAGGGCCCGAGGGGCGGCTGGGAGCCGGAGGACGTCGCGGGGCGGCCGCTGCTCCACTCCCCGAGGGGGCACTCTTCTCCGAGGGGGGACCCCGACGACCGTGCGGAGTGCCCGCCGGGCAGGGACGAGGATCGGAGGAGGAAAAGGTGCCCATACCTCTACCCTTCGCCCGTTTTCCCCTTTTTGGGCCTCCTGGGAGGCCCTCGTCGCCACCGCTGGATTCGCCTCGAAATCCTGGTCAGAACGCACCCCGGGAGAGGCCCAGGGAGTAGCGGTATCGGTACCTTTTGGTTTCCCCAGAGGAGTGGCTCTGGTGGAGGGGCTCGCCAAGGTTGGCGGCGATCGTGCTCAGCCCCACGTTCGAGTGGGCCGCCTCGGTCTTCGTCATCGTCAACGCGGTGACCATCGGCATTCACACCGAGCAGCTGGCCAGGCGGCAGCCCGACTGGGCATGCAATCTAAGAGGCTTCGCCCTCGGCCGCTGACACCCCGCACTGATGGAAGCGTCCGTGAATATGAATATTCTTGGGGCTGTCTCTAAGTCGGGCCTGTCCCTCCACAGGAGGAGTATTCGAGAACAGTCAGAAAATAGTCTGGGGACGATTCTTTGGTTATTGCTCGACCATGTTGGAGCATTCTCGGACTACTTTTATTTTTCGTCCAGAATCCCCCTGTAAGTGGACAGGCCCGACTTAAGAATATTCTTGGGGCTGTCTTGAGACTTCGTGGTGCCATCTCGACACGAGAGCGTGGCTTCCGCGGGCCAGCGGCCCCGCAGCGGGCCAGCGGATCTGGCTGAGAGCGGCTTCATCTGCCTATTCGCCGTGGAGCTCTGCCTGCGCATCGCCGCGGAGGGCGTCGACTTCTTCCTGCGGGAGGGCGAGCAGGGCTGGGCGAACATCCTCGACGGCCTCGTGGTGGTGCTCCAGGTCTTCAAGGAGGCCTCCGAGCTCCACTCCGGCGCGGTCGCCTTCTGGGGCGCGAACAGCCTCGGCATCCTGCGGGTCTTCCGGGTCACCAGGCTCATACGCGTGAACAGCGATGCCAGGCTGTTCGTCATCTTGGCGGACCTCAGGACGATGGTCGTGTCCGTGTCCGACTCGTTCGTGTCACTGGCGTGGACCGTCGCGCTGCTGACTCTGTTCACGTTCGTTTTCGCCGTCTTCCTCACGCAGCTCGTTGCAGATTTTCTCAGGCTGGGCCGCGGGCCCGCGGTGGAGGAGGTGGCGCTCATGCTGCACTTCGGCTCGCTGCAGTCCACGATGCTCTCCCTGTACGAGGCGTCCACGGGGGGCATCAACTGGCACGAGATCGTGGACCCGCTGATGTACAATTTCTCCCCCGCCATCGTCGTCGTCTTCCTGTGCTACATGTTTTTTGTGATTTTCGCGCTGACGAACGTTGTTACGGGCGGGCGCTGGGCGGAATGATCGGCCGATCTCCGGCATCCTGGGAACGCCGTGGTCGGCCTTTCGCGTTTTGTTTCTTTCGGGGGAGGGGGGGTAGCGCACAGAACCCCGCCAGATCTGGGGCCCTGCAGGGGCCCCACCACACCCCTCGTGCTCTCCGCCCTGGCCGCTCCGAGCGCCGCTCACGTCGAGCATCTGCCCCCCCCCCCCGGCGCAGGCGTGTTCGTCGAGTCCGCCCTGCGGACGGCGGAGGAAGACAAGCGGCGGCAGCTGACGCACCAGATGACCTCGCTGTTCACCCAGGCGGACGACGACGGCAGCGGCACGATTACCTGGGACGAGTTCCAGGAACACCTGGCCGCCCCGCAGCTGCAGTCCTTCCTGAAGGCCCTGGACCTCCACGTCGACGAGGCCCGCGCGCTGTTCCAGCTCCTGGACGTGGACGACTCGGGCGAGATCGACGCCGACGAGCTGGTGCAGGGCTGTCTGCGCCTGCACGGGCAGGCCAAGGCCAAGGGAAACAAACCATGACATAAACATTAAACTCTTGGCGCTCCGCGCGGATTTTTTGGATTGGCGCTTGGCCTCCCCTGCCTGGCGCGCGGAGCGCGCCAGGGGCGGCGGCGCCGGAGGCGCCGCCAGGGGGCCCCAGCGCGGATCCGAGAAATCCGTGCGGACCTCCGAGTTCTTATGTTTATGCCATTGTTCGTCCCCCTACAAGGCCATCGAGCTCGCGGCCTTCATGCACGAGTACCGCAGGACGGTGTGCGAGTCCATGGGTTTGCGTCGGGCCTGGCAGGCTGTGTGGGGGTGCGTGCGACAGGCAGTCGGACTGGAGAGATGTGCTGCTTTGCGAGTTCCCTGGCCTTCCCGTTCCCCCCCTCTCCAAAATAATGCGTTGAACAAAAAAACGAGTACCGCAGGACGGTCCGCAGGGCCCGTGTCCACGAAGAGCTCGTGGAGAAGTCCCTGGCCTGGCTGTGCGACTCCCTGCAGGGCCGGGCGCCGCACGCGAGGTAATTCGTTAGCGAGGACGTTCGCGTCAGGTCGGGCGTGCCATCCGACAGGCGGGCGTTGGACGGAAAACAAAACATACCCAAAAGGTTTTAAGAGAGAGTTCTGATATTCCGACCTACTTTAGCACCAAGAAAATCGAGCACCAAGACCAAGAAAATACGTGAATTGGAGGACTTCCACGTGTCGGGCCTTGGGAGGCGATACTCCTTCGACGCTGTTTCGATACTTCTCTGGGTGCTCGAAGTTATTTCTGGGATGCGGTCCTGAAGTGCGATGGGAGCAACATGAAACAAATGAGTCAAAACTATGCGAAAAAATCACCGGGTTATTTCAGGACTGTTTATGAATGTTCTTCCTGTGGCGGGACGCGCCCGACTTCACGTTCGCTCCTCTCGGTGCCCGCGCCCGCCTCCGGCGGAGGCACCGCCCGCTCGCCGTGGAGCCCAGGCCTCCGGCGCCGTGGTCGGTGGTGGATCCACGGCGTGGCCCCCCGGGGGCTCCCTGACACCGTCGGCCGGAGAAGCCCGCTCGCCTCGGGCCGCGGTCGCTGAAGGCGGCGCGATCGCAGCGATTTGCGCGCCTGGGTTTGGGCCCCCCCGCGCTCCCCGTGAGGCGCGCACCAGCGGTTGCTCTTGCCCATACCGCTTCTTGGTGGCCCCGGGGCTCGATGACGGGCCCTGGAGGCTGAGACCCAGGCAAGGCGCGGGGGGGAACAAGTCATGTCGTCAGCGACCTGGGCCCCCGCCGTGGCCTCCTCGCGACGCCCTGGGGGGTCTGGGGCTCCGCGCTGGAAGAGAGGGCGAGGACTCCCTTTGCGGCGATTGCGGCGATGGCGCGCCGGCGACGCCAGCGAAGGCGCACAAGGCTGAACTCCGCATGATCGAACGACGCGGAAGCACCGAGGGACCAGGTAGCCCCACAGGACCCGACGGGATTCAATTTTGAACGAACGGGCCCGCGATGGGTTCAAGGTTGAACGATCGACGTGGTGTCAAAAACCTCTGCTGCGCGCGCCGACGCCGCGCGAACCTACCGTAGGTCCCCGGCCCTCCCTACCTCAGCCTGGGTTTCCAGGTTTGGGGAGGGCGACGGCGCCATTTTCCCTGCTGGGCGCCGTCGCACACCCCCTCCGCCGACGGGGGGCCTCGGCGGCGCGTTCAGGAGGGGGGGGGGCCGTGCGAGTGGCGGCACGCTCTGTGAGGGCAGGGGGCTCCTCGGAGGCCCTTGGAGTGAACGACCTGGCTTCGCAGGCAAACCCCACAGAACGGTTGCGCTGCTTCACTAAGGCTGCCCTTGCATCTCTTCTTCTTCTTCTTCTTCGGCCTCCCCCGAGCCAATGCTGACGTCCAACGAGCCCGACATGGTACACGGGACTTCCTCCCGTCCTGCATCCTCACCTTGCACCCTCCTTCTGGACTTTGACTGTCGTGCAATGGTGGCCACCGCCGTCTGCCTGCGCAGTCTGACGGCCTCGAGGGGTCTGGCAGGGTTGGACCTAAACGCTGTTTTGCTGGACTTCGGCTGTGGTTTGTTTTTCGTTTTCGGCAGGGAGGTGCAGGAAGACGGGTAGGGCAAGACGAAAACAACACGCAAGCAAACCAGATATCAACTTGCAGGTCCAGCCCCAGGGTCGGGGCTCGAGGGCCTGGGATCGAGCAGGCTCTTCGCCGTGTTCTGCCTCCGGAGGCCCGGCCTGGTCATCCGACGATGCGCCTGCTTGCGCACGCGGCTCTCTAGCGCTCCCGACCCTCGGGCCGAACGAAAGGGGGGGATAGGGAAATGGGGGGGGGTACGAAATCTGCTGGACGCAGCTGGTTTCGGCCCCGCCGCCAGGCCCATTCCTCGATGCATGGGCGCCTCCCGGCGCCGGGAGGCGCTGGGAAAATCAGCTACGTGAGATGATTCTCTACCCTGCCCTTGGCTGTCCCCCCCTGTCGTTCCCCCCGAGACCCCTCCCCCATCACGGCTGCCTGCCTGCGCAGGGGCGGCAGCTGCCCCACTCAGGCCGCCATGCCGTACAACCAACCCGCAGAGTGAGGTTAAGTCGGGCCTGTCCCTCCACAGGGGGAATATCCAAACATAGTCAAACAAAATAGTCAGGGGACGATGTTTCGATTCTTTCTTTTACCATGTTTGAATATACTTGGGGTCTTTTCAGTTTTCGCCCAAAACTCGCCTGTAGGAGGACGTGCCCGACCTAACAGTAAGGATGGGCAGCCTTCCAAAGGGTGCCATTGCATCCTTGCCTCCTCGGTCCATCCTTGGCCACTTCCGTTGCCCGCGCCTCGCTCGAGAAGCTTCGGATCGGCCCTCCAAGGCCCCCGCGTCCTGATCGCGCATCCTTGTGATGCGGGCCGACTGTACTCTGCATGGTGGTTGGCCAGTTCAGCACACACGGTCCACGCGGGCCCCCTGTCCCGCCAACCACCGCTTGGGCTTGCGAGGTCGTGGCTAAAAGTAAGACGTTCGGGATAGTGCTTGATGCCCCGAACTGCCTCTACACACCAGCCCAACCACCAGCGCCCCAGCCACAAGTCCTGAGGGTTGCCGGCCCTCTCAGGAGGCGGGGGGGGGCGCTGCCTCCCCCCCCCCGGCCTCCCGAGAGGGCCGATGATCCCCAGGACGCGTGTTAGCCCTGCGTGTTTTGTGTCTGCCCGTGTGTGTGTGTGTGTGTGTTCCTACGCCTCGCCCGGCCGTCTTCTCCTCGACGCCACGGCCTTCCCGCTGCTCAACCGCATGGCGCATCGCATCCTCGGTGCCTGAGGCCGCCTGCGCGCACCGCCCCCTTCCCAGAGATCCGATGCCGTGATCTTTGTTCAACACGGGGTCCACGGAAGTCTCGACCCGACCCATTCTCAGGGACGAGCGGGGGGGGAGAAATGAGAAGGGGCGGGCTTTCTCAGAAGGCTCGGAAGTCCCAAAGCCTTCTGAGAAGTTTTCTCAGCCTTCCCCGAAGACACACAAGAACCTCTCAGAAGGCGCGGGGGCTTCTGAGAAGTCCCGCCGCCTTCTGAGAAGGCCTTCTCCTTCTCATTTCCCCCCCTCGCTCGTCGCCAACATTCCCCAGGACCAGTTTTTCATCCTGAGTCGTTTTTTGACGGTCTCAGGGCCGGGCGAGGGCTGTAAGAGGCCGGAAATCGAGAAACAAATCCGTCCTGAATTTTTCAATACGTTGGAGGTCTGGGTTCAATGTTCGACGGGCGGGCCTCGTCCTCATCCCTCCTCCGCTGTTTGCTCCCTCTGTCTCTCCGCTCGCTCCGTGCGCCCCGCGCCGGGCGCGCCCCCCACCGGTCTCGACAGTCAAAGCCCGCTTTCTCGCCCGCGCTGCCGAGGACAACGTGTGTGTGTGTGTGTGCGTGCGTGTGTGTGTGTTTGTGTGTGTGCGTGTGACTACGTGTGTGTATGTGTGAATATGTGTGTGCGTGCGTGCGTGCGTGCGCGCGCGCGTGCGTGCGTGCGTGCGTGCGTGCGTGCGTGCGTGCGTGTGTGTGTGTGTGTGTGTGTGTATGTGTGTGCGCGCGTTCATGGTCCATGCGACATGTGTGGTCGTTCCCGCTGTTGGATTCCTATCTGACCTTCTCATAGCTCATGCCCTGACCTGGGATCCGCCATGCATGCTATTGGATTCCTTCTTGACCCTCTCACGACTCCTTTGCTGACCTGGTCGGCTCAAGGTCGGCTTGGCTCGAGCGGCTCGGGCGCGGCTCGGGCGGCTGGGGCGCAGGACAGAGACGACGAGTACAAAGAATAACGGAGATGACGGCTCGAACGGAAAAGCCCCTCACACACGCCGACAGGGTCGGCGGATTTGACCCTCTCGCCGACGGTGGCGCTGAAGCTGCCCGCGCAAGGTCGCGCGTAGGCGCCCTGGTCTCCACTGTGGCGTGCCGCGCTGGCGGCCCGCGCAAGTTGCAGCGTAAGGTCGCTGTGTCATCTCGCGCGAGACTCGTTTTTCGATCGTCGCTCCTGTGTGGCCGTTCCCGCTGCTGGGTTCCTGCTTGACCCTCTCGTGACTCCTTTCCTGACCTGGGGTTTCTGCGATGCCCCTGCGCACGCGCCATTACAAAGGGGACGCGCATCAAGAAACCAGGTGCTTTTCGTCAGGGTATCCTGGGTTTCTTCGCTGATCGCGCTGCGCGGTGACTTCCCGCAGCCGTTGAAGGAGCTGCGTTCAGGGTGCTCCGGGTTTCCCCTCAGGTGCACCTCTCGCACGGGTTCTCAGGGGTGGGTTTCTTGCGAGGGTTTCTTGCGGCTGCGCACGCGCCAGTATCTCAGCCTGGCCCTGGCGTCCCCCGAAGTGTGCTTCTCCTGCTCCGAGGGCGCTCTCCGGCCGTTCCTCGCTCTCCAGTCGCTCTGGCCTCCTCGTCCCCTTCTCCTCATCCTCCTCCTCCTTCCCCTCCTCCTCCTCCTCCTCTTCCTCCTACTCCTCCTCCTCTTCCTCCTCCTCCTCCTCCCCCTTCCCCTCCTCCTCCTCCTCCTCCTCCTCCTCCTTCTCCTCTTCTTCTACTCCTCCTCCTCCTTCCCCTCCCCCTCCTCACTTCGCTCTGGCCTTCTCCTGCCTACCTGTGTGCGTAACTACTTCGCTTCCGGCGCGACCGGCCGCGGTCCGCGCTTTCTGGGTCCAGCTCGCCGCAGATCAAACACAGATCCTCCATCTTCCTCCTCCTCCTCCTCCTCCTCCTCCTCCTCCTCCTTCCTCCTCCTCCATCCTCCATCCTTCCTCCTCCTCCTCCTTCTTCTCTCCTCCTCCTCCTCCTCCTCCTCCTCCTCCCCCCTTCGCTCTGGCCTTCTCTTGCTCCCGTGTGCGTACTGTTGGCTTCCGGCGCGACCGGCCCGTGTCTGTCCGCTTTTTGGATCCAGCTCGCCGCAGATCAAGCACACGTCCCCTCCTCCTCCTCCTCCTCCTCCTCCTCCTCCTCCTGTTCCCCTCCTTCTCCACTCCTCCTTCTCCTCCTCCTCCTCCTTCTCGTGTGTGTGTGTGCGTGTGTGTGTGTCTTTGTTCACGGTTGTGCTCAGTCACCCCCTTGCAGTTGCACGGCCACGGCCGCGGCCGCAGTTTTCGCGTTTTCGCGCGCGGTCTCTCGTTTTGGCTGACAGCGACTGCCACGATCCAGGTCATCACGCCAGCTGCAATTATTCGCCTGAGCGTATCCCGGCTTAGCGGTTGGCGACGGGGCGGCGGCGTCGTTGCTTCGCCGCTGCTCGTAAAACCAAGCGACCTTTCAAGCGAGAGCACCATTTCGAAAATCATTCGCCTACCATCAGTGTGACTCTTGCGCGGTGTTATATGTTCAGCAATTGTTGTGGGGGGAGTCTCGATCGAATGTTCCATTTTGACAAAGGGCCGGTCTCCATCCATGCGTTTGCTTGAACATTGAAAGACGAATGCGCGCGGCGCTCTGGCGAAGGCCACGTCTTGAAAACCACCGCCATCCATCCGTATAGCTTTTAAGACGAGTGTGCGCGGCGCTGAGGCGAAAGACGCATTCTGAAAGCAACCGGCCCTCCACCCGTGTAGTTGTTCGAACGTGCAGCCGTTGGCATCATAAGTTGCAGGGAAGGCTCAGCCGAATCGCCTGGCCCGGCCTACTGACACGTCTGGCGATGAGACAGAGAGGAGCAGACGAGCTTTGTCGAGGAAGAGGGATGGAGGAGGAGGAGGAGGAGGAGGAGGAGGAGGAGGTTCTAGGGCAGCAAGCCTGTAAGAGCTTGCCCTGACCTCATCCTCGCAGCGCCGGCTGGTGATGACGGTGGTGGTGACGACGACGTTGCTGACGATGTTGAGAAGGGGGGAGGGGGAGCAGGAGGTGGAGGACGACGAGGTGGAGGAGGAGGGCCGGAGCGAGCCAAACCTGCAGAATCGATGCTGCATGGCACCCTCCCGTCCAGAGTCCTGTTCTCGCGTGCCCCTGCAAGTTCCCCCCTGTCACTGCACGAGGCGCCCCCCTCTCTGGCAGACCAGCACGGCTGGGCCCGCCGTTGCCACTTTGGCGGGGGCCCCGCTCGGGAACGGCATTGCTTGGCATGCTGCCAGCGAG